GCAAGGTCTTCTGTAAAGTGCGTCGGCATTTCGATGGATTGCTCCAGCTCGATGTTCTGTGTCGAAGTCAAATTCTTGTAATCGTTCAATCTAGCTATCTGCCCTTCAGGATTCTTAAACTGCAACAGCCATTTCAAAGCAGCATGGTCTGTTCTTAACAAGAACTTTCTTCCATAGAGATACTTGTAGAAGTGTTCCACTGCTTTAACTACTGCTAGTAATTCTCGTCTGGTTACACAGTAGTTCCTTTCCAGTTTTCACAAGGTCTACTAAAATAACCAATGACTTTTTCTTGACCATCCTGGATCTGAGACAGAACAGCGCCTAACGCAACATTGCTAGCGTCGGTATCAATATAAAGTTTCCGTTGCCAAGAGGGTAGCAAAAGGTATAAAGTATGGGCGCACTAGTCAGGGCCTTCTTCAATTTTCGGAATGCCTCGTCAGAATCTGAGTCCCAAGAGAAACGCCTCTCGCCTTCGGTAAGTCATAGTTCATGTTTATCTTTAGGTATCGGCCACTCTTCCACTGTCTTGGTCTTCTGTGGATCTACCGCAACTCCTTGGGAGGAGACTACATGGCCCAAGTAGTGTACCTTTTCTTGACACAGATGACATTTCTTGGGGCTAAGTTTCAAACCAGAACTCCCTAGTCGCTTGAAAACTTCTTCCAAATTCTTCAGATGATGGTCAAAGGATTTCCCCACCACTATGATGTCATCCAGGTACACTAAACAGGTAGTCCAGGATAGTCCCTTTAACACAGACTCCATTAGTCTCTCAAAGGTAGCTGGCGCGTTGCACAATCCAAAAGGCATGACGGTAAATTGCCACAGTCCGGAGCCCACCGAGAACGCTGTCTTCTCTCTATCTTTCGGCGCCATGTCGACTTGCCAATATCCACTTTTCAGATCTAACGTAGAGAATATCGTTAACCCCGCCAGCGTGTCTAGAGTATCGTCTATCCTCGGCAGGGGATAACTATCCTTCTTGGTAACATTATTGAGCTGCCGATAATCAACACAGAATCTGGTGGTACCGTCTTTCTTCTTTACTAGTACTACCGGCGATGTCCACGGGCTGTTAGATGGTTCGATGACATCTTCTTCTTTCATTTCTCGAAGGATTTTATCAGCTTCTTCACGTTTGGCGAGCGGAAGTCTTCTCGGATTTTGTTTGATTGGTCGCGCATCTCCTGTATCAATTTTATGTTGTACTAAATTGGTACGACCTCTCTGTCCTGCTTCTCCTTTATCAAACACATCTTGATACTTGATTATCAGGTTTCTCAATTTTCTACTATTTTCGGGAGATAATCCCTTACGTTTACTAACTCCTTCACCATTTTGTCCGGAATTTTTGAAGTCGAAACTTTGGAGGCCTCCACGCTTCGAATGACTGAGGAGACCGAACAACAGTACCCTAACGGGGTTCCCTTCTTCAAGGATACAGAATAATAATTCGTGTTCATTACTCTCACCGGTACAGTCTTCTTCGCTCGTAGCAGGGCTTTTCCAACAGCGACCCCTCGTCCTATTTCGCTGTCATGATTCCTTGGCTCCAACAGAATAATACTCCCATTATTCATTTTACCTTCCAGGCAACCATCCAAAAATGTCTCACAGCGCTCAGGGATCGAAACATCTTCTGCTACCACCATACGAAGCGTCTCCTCACATTTTCGATGCAGAACCACTTCTTCTTCATTTATTTTCAAAATTCCTTGTTTGAGGTTTAGCTGAAAACCTCTAGTGGTCATGATGTCCATTCCGAGAATAAGTTCATCTTCGATGTCTGCTACTAACACTCGATGATTAAAACAGGTGCTTCCGATAACAAAATTAAGATCTACCTCTCCATGGATGAGAGCGGAGCTTCCTGTAGCTGTACGTAGTCGCCATTGTGTTGTTTTATCCTTTTTGATGTTTTAAGGATATCCGCCTGATGATCGTTTTGGTCGCACCCGTATCCAACAGCATGGTCCGTAACTCTCCATCCACGAAACCATCCACAAAAATGCTGTTGAACTTTGTGTTGTAGCAGGCGACTTGAGCAGTTTTGTTGGGGCATGTTGGGTACAGGTCGACGTGTGCCCCTTCATTTCGACCATAGTAGTTTTCCGACCTCGACGAAGCCGGTTCTTCGTTCTTCTCCTTACAACGGCTTCGCACGTGTCCTACCTGTCCGCAGTTCCAGCAACGAATCGGTCCCTTCTTGCCCACGTACTGGTCCATTACCTGCCGAACAATCCTTCCACGGATTCGTCGGAACATTCGTCGATGGCCCGTACTCTTCCTAAAGACCGAGAACTTTTGTTTCGCGGCCTCAAATTCTTGGGCACGTCCTAAAGCATCCACCAAGTGCGTTGGGTGGGCTAGGAGAGAAGTGCTTGTCTTGCTCTCGTTGTCACGTAAGCCGTCGGAGAATACCTGTACTGCCAACCGCTCCATAACATTCTCGGGCGTAGCAGGGTACGCAAGGCGAACGAGGCGGGCTACGTCGGCTTCAAACTCCTGCAGAGACTCATTTGACTTTTGAATGCGATTTTTTAGCTGGGAATGATAGACATGTTCCGAATGAGCTTGGCCGTACCTCATTTCTAAATGTCGTACCAATTGCTGATAATCTCCCTGTTCCGATGGTGACAGTGTCTGCAGGATATGAGTCTCATCTCCTCGCAGTGCGATAGTCAAAGCGGTAGCTTTTTCAGCGATTGTCCAGCCGTTCCCTCTCGCAGCGGCTTCAAATTGGCAAAAATAATTGGCCCAAGCGGTTTTTCCGTCAAACTGTGGAGGTTTCATAACGTGCTAAAGCATCCACCAAGTGCGTTGGGTGGGCTAGAAGAAGTGCTTGTCTTGTCTCGGTGTCACGTAAGCCGTCGGAGAATGCCTGTACTGCCAACCGCTCCATAACTTTCTCGGGCGTAGCAGGGTACGCAAGGCGAACGAGGCGGGCTACGTCGGCTTCAAACTCCTGCAGAGACTCATTTGACTTTTGAATGCGATTTTTTAGCTGGGAATGATAGACACGTCCCAAATGAGCTTGGCCGTACCTCATTTCTAAATGTCGTACCAATTGCTGATAATCTCCCTGTTCCGATGGTGACAGTGTCTGCAGGATATGAGTCGCATCTCCTCGCAGTGCGATAGTCAAAAGCTTTAGCAGCTTTTCAACGGTGTCCAGCCGTTCCCTCTCGCAGCGGCTTCAAATTGGCAAAAATAATTGGCCCAAGCGGTTTTTCCGTCAAACTGTGGAGGTTTCATAACTGATTTTGAGGCATACTTATTTTCGACTAGTTTCGGTTCCTTCGATGTTTCTTGACATTTTTGTGAATTTGTCTTTGCTATTTCTTCTCTTAAAATTTCGATTTTTCTATTTACATCATCCTCAATCTCTATTATTTTGTCTTGTGTATCGGTATTATTTTGTCTTGTGTATTTTGTCTTGTGTATAGCTCCGTAGAATTCTCTATAATCTTCTCTTCTAATTCCCTGGAATTTTCTGTTATTTTTTTTTCTAAATTAAGTATTTTATTATTAAAGCTGGCCTGTATGTCTTTAGAATTTTCTGCGATCTTATCTTCTAAAATATTAATTAAATCCTGGGCATTTTCCATAATTTTATCTTTCAAACTGTCTTCTAATTTTTGAGAATTCTCTGTAATTTTATCGTTCAAACTGTCTTCCAAGTTAATTATTTTACTATTCAAATTGTTCAAGTTGTCGTCTAATTTTTGAGAATTCTCTGTCATTTTATTTTCTAATTTTTGTAGGCGCGGGTCAAGGTCACCTTCCAACTCAAAGCAAAATGTGTCAGGATCCTCACCTTCCTCAATCAAAACCTCTTTCAGTCTAGCTTGCAAAATGCTTTTCTTCCCATCTGTCTCGCACTCTCTCTCTTCCAATATGCATTTCAGTTCGGACGCTTTCAAGTCTTTCAACAATTTTTTCGAAGCCATTATCAGTCTTTTTCTAGTCTATCACACACGCCACACTTGACACCAATTGTTACGTTTTTCGTCGGTTCCGTGTGGATAGAAAGTCACAATTTATTTAAACACTATTTATTTAACACTAATTAACAAAAACAATAACGATAAAAGACTTATAGAACTATTTACAAACTATTTATAACTGCCCTTTCTAGGCCACAGCCGCCGGCTTTTATACCGACAGGTAAAGAACTCTAGAATAGTCCATAGATCGTTAGGTGCATAGAGAAGGTTTCGATTGTTCTCGTATGTACTACTCCATTCCAGTAGAACTCGATACCTCTCGAATCTTCGAATGAATCATTACGGTGTCTATGCGATGTTAAGGTCATCCGAGGGCGGGCCATATTGTTAGCTTAGGTCGAGTCCACACCGGTCCGCAACAATATTTAGAATGGAAATAATTAATACATGTCATTATTGACACGTTGAGTAGATAGTTATTTCACTGAAATCATAAATTTGGAAACTTTTTATTTTTTTTTAAATTAATCATAAAATTTTCTTTGAAAAAATGGTAGATGATTTCAGTCTAATAACTATTTAGTCAACATGTGTAATTTATGTCAATGACGACAGGTATTGATCATTTCGATTCAAAATTTCTCGAGAACCATTAATCGTAGCGAATTTTACAATGAGACCTTTTTTACGTAAAAAACGTCGTAAATGTATATTTTTTACTCAGTAGTTTTATACAGGTTCGGACAAAAAGTTATTAGTATTCAAACCCGTTAAAAAATATGTAGGTGGTACCCTCTAAACTCCCAGACACCAATTTTCATCTAAATATTTTCGTTATTTAGGTTGGAAATTATTTGGAAAAAATCTAAATAAAAATGAAACTTCTACACCCTGTATCTCCGAAACTAAGCATGTTAGGAGACACATTTATACAAACTTTTTTACTTATTTTTAACTGCAGAATATGCTGTCGAAGTTTCAGGAATACAGTTCGGACCACCCTGTATATAATTAATATATTACTATTTATCTTTTTTTTTATTTTAGGATGCCCTAAGCTGAAGAGTTTTATAAGTAAGGGCTGTAAGCATATCACTTCAAGGGCCGTCATATGTCTAGCAAGATACTGTAATCAGTTAGAAGTGGTGAATTTATTAGAATGTGGTGTAAGTTAATGTAAAAACATATTGTTACGAATTCCGTGGGTCCACTATTTAAACTCACGATAAAATACTTAACGAATTTATTTGTCTCACTCTGTACACACAACTTATACTATTTACAACACAATTTATGCAACTACTATTACTCTAACGGTATTTCGCGGTATTATCAAACTTCAGACTTCAGACTATCTTCAGACTGGTCCAACTGTCAAAGCGCGGGCCTTATATACCCCCTGGCGATGGTTTCTGGAATTTTCTAAAGAATTCTGTAATTTTCTTTTACTTTCTGTCGAATTCGACAGGTTCCTCAATGCACATTGCGGTTATGTAGCAGTAATGCAGTTATGCAACCAGTAATACACCTTGACCTTAACATTGCCCCCTTCTCAAATTTGATCGTCCCGATCAAGGTTTCCTGTCTGGTATCTCTTCAATCGATCCAGATGAACTACTTTCATCTTACTTCTAGGGCTGCATTGAATCCGGTACAAAACATCATTTATCCTCTTGATGACTGTATAAAGACCTTCCCTTGCTGGAGTTAACTTAGGGGACCTTCCTTTCTTGCGCTGTGGGTTATACAACCATACCCTATCGTCCTGTTGAAATCCCGTAGAATTAGCTCTGAGGTCGTAAAGAGCTTTCATCCGGTCACTGGCTAGCGCAATCTTACTTCTAACGGTCTGATGAATTTCCAATAACCTTTCCTTCAGTTCATCCGCGTAGTCCTCTACGTTTGTGGTGCCGTCGTCTGGTGATCCGAACACCAAGTCACAAGACAACCGTAATTCTCGACCAAACAAAATCTTCGATGGTGAAAGTCCGGTGGTGTGAACTGCACTTCTATAAGCCATTAGGAATAGCGGTATGTGCTGATCCCAATCTCTTTGATGTTCGTCCACCATTTTCGGGAGGTGTTCAATGGTCTTATTGAATCTTTCGACCATCCCATCAGACTGCGGATGTAAAGCTGTTGTCCTAGTCTTGTGAATACCAAGCAGATCACACATCTTCTGGAACAGTCTTGACTTGAAGTTCCTTCCTTGGTCAGTGTGAAGCTCTAAGGGAATTCCAAATCTACTGAAGACATTATTGACTAATACTTCAGCTACAGTCGATGCTTCTTGGTTTGGAATGGCAAAAACTTCTGGCCATTTACTGAAATAATCCATCGCCACTAAAACGTACTTGTTGCCCTTGTGCGTTTCAGGGAATGGGCCTGCAATGTCAACAGCGATTCTTTCGAATGGCAGTCCAACGTTATATTGTTTCATTTTTCCCCTAGATCGAGTGCTTGGTCCTTGGCTGGCTGCACAAATTTTACATTGTCGACACCATTTCTTGACATCTTCGCAATAATCCACCCAGTAAAAGCGATCTCTCAGCTTGCTCAAGGTCTTGTTTACCCCAAGATGGGCTCCAGTTTTACCACCGTGAATTTCTTCCAATACCTGGGTAACTTTCTTCCTTGGTACCAGTAACTGAGTTGTTACTGTGCTGCCATCCGCACTTTCCCATATGCGCTTTAACAATCCATTCTCCATAACTAGTGAATTCCACTGAGCCCAGAGAGCTTTGAAAACGAGCCCTCTGTTCGCAATATCCTGCCACGGTGGTCTCTCGCCGTTACCTTCCTTGAGCCGTAGTATTGCTCCGATGTCTGGATCTTCCATTTGGTCTTTCCTCAATTGTGTCGTCGTCCACTTTTCATCGGTTCCAAGCTTAAAACTCCTTATCATAACAGTGCCTTCGCGTTGTTCCGTTTTACAGCAGTGCTTACAATCGATTTTACAGGGTCTTCTGGATAAACCGTCTGCGTTACCATGCATCTTTCCAGCACGATGTTGGATGGTAAAGTGATACTGCTGGAGCTTCTCGAGCCATCATGCTATTTGACCTTCAGGTTGTTTCATCTCCATAAGCCACTTGAGAGCCGCATGATCTGTCTTAATTAAAAATTCTTGGCCATACAGATATTTATGGAAATGATCAACTGCTTTTACAATTGCTAGCAGCTCCTTCCGGGTAACGTAGTAATTCCTTTCTGGTTTAGATAGAACTCGACTGTAATATTCTATCACTCGTTCTTCGCCATCTTGCACTTGTGATAGCACTGCACCTATGCCGATATTGCTGGCGTCGGTATCCAGGATATACCTTCCTTGTTGTTGCGGGTAGGCTAGAATAGGACTTGAACATAAAGCCGCCTTAAGTCTTCCAAAGGCTACATCACAATCGGTGTTCCATTCGTAGCCGACTTCATCACCTGTAAGTTTATGTAAAGGTCTATGTTGGCAAATCCCTTGACAAATCTTCTGTAATATGTGCATAAACCCAGAAAACTTCTAAGTTCATGTTTATCGCGAGGTTTAGGCCAATCCTTGATTGCAGCGATTTTCTTCTGATCGGTGTAAATTCCGTCTGCCGAAACTACATGACCCAAGAATTCCACTTGTCGCTGGAATAAGCTACACTTCTTCGGGTTCAAGTACAGGTGCGCATTTCTTATGCGGCCGAAGACATCTTCTAAATTTCGCAAATGCTCCTCAAAAGTTCTTCCCATAATCAATACATCATCGAGGTAAACCAAGCACGTTTTCCAAGTTAATCCTCTTAACACCACCTCCATTAGACGTTCGAAAGTGGCTGGAGCATTTCATAATCCAAACGGCATGACCTTGAATTGGTATAGTCCGTTTCCTGTAGAAAAAGCCGTCTTTTCTTTGTCTTCCTCGTCCAGACCAACTTGCCAGTATCCACTCTTTAAGTCGAGTGGAGAACCAGCACGAACCTGCCAGGATTTGTTAATGTGTCATCTATACGTGGCAGTGGGTAGCTATCTTTCTTAGTGACGTCATTGAGGCTTCCTATAGTCCACGCAGAATCGTGTACTACCATCTTTCTTCGTCACCAAAACAGGAGATGACCATGGACTTGATGATTCTTCGATTACTCCATCTTCTAACATCTTATCTACCATTGTCTCCATTTCTTGTTGTTTGGAAGGGGCACCCTTCTAGGACGTTGTCGAATCGGCTGAGCATGACCAGTATTAATCCGGTGCTTCTAAAATCCGTTCTTCCACTGTTGTTCTTCTCAAAATACTGCCATGCTTTAGCAGGAACTTGGCCTTCTGTTTCTCCTCAGGTGTTAGGTGATCCCATGGCTGTGCTAGATGTTTTAGTGTTTCTTGGGATGCCTTTTGTGTAACAGCTGACGACACTTCATCACATCGGGTGACACTTCTTACAGGTTCGCAGATGGCTATCTTGTCACCTTTTTGGATCTTGACACAATTCATTGATGATCTTGACACAAAAACATTCGCAATTCTGATCGGTATATTCTTGTCGGTGTTCACCAATGATTTTCCCACCAAGTACCTATCTTGTTTCTTGTCGACACTTTGTACCAGTCCAACACAGCACCCAGCGATTTTCTCCACTTTACCGAATACGATCTTCTCGGTATTACCAGGTATCACCACAGTTTCCGCTGATCTTACATCCATCCTTCCTGGTCCCTCGTCTGGAGATAACATGAACTCTTCGTTTCCGATATTTAGGATATTTCTTTGGTGATCGAACGAAAATCCATGTTGACGAATCACATCCATGCCCAAGATGAAGTCATCTTCAATATCTGCCACTAAGACGCTATGCTGAAACTTCAAATTTCCTAACTTCAGTTCGACGATAGCCTTTCCCCGTACAACGGTCATTTCCCCCGTAACTGTACGTAAACACACTCTTCTTCCCAGAGGCATCAGCTTCAACCCTTGCACTGAGTTAGCTCGCACCAACGATACCATAGCGCCAGTGTCCACGGTCATTCGGATTCTCCTACCATTGACCTTCCCGTCGATCACTAAACTATCAGCGGTTCTTCCTAAACTCCTAATGGAAAAAATCCTGGGGGCTCTGTTCTCCCGAGTCAATACTCGCCCCTTAGTATTGACTGATTTTAGTTTTCCTGGTGCCTACGTTCTCTGGATGGTGAACGGGGTCGCATTTGGACGCGGCAATCCCGTTTGATGTGGCCATTCCTGCCACATCTATAGCACCTTATTTCCTGGGATCTTCTCTGGTTCTCTGTCTGGTTGTTGTTGGCTCCCTTGTTTATTAGTAGCTCACATGGTTTGTCGAATTTTCTACACATCTCGTCCAAACTTCTGTGGTTACTCTCGGGCTGTTTCTCGACCGTTACAGATCTTATCTTCGGTCTAGGGATGGCGCTAAAGGCAGCTTTGATTTCCAGCGCCCTGACCAGTGCTTCGCTGCTGGTAGAAAATCGGGATATTTGCAGCGCCCTCTGTAATTCGCTGTCCTTCAATCCACTGATAAAGCACTGGGCCGCGAGTTCCTCTCTAAACCCTTCCGGTGCTTCTGGATATGCCAAGTGTACCAGCCGACGTAAGTCTGCTTCAAATTCTTGCAGACTCTCTCCGGACCTCTGCAGGCCTGTCTTGATCTGGGCCTGGTAAAGTTGACGTCGATGTTGATCGCCATATCTTCTGTCCAATGCAGCAACCAAGGTTTCGTATTCTTGCTGTTGGGCTGCAGGAATAGTTTGCAGCAGTTCCAGGGCAGGGCCGCGCAGCGCGATGACAAGTGCCGCTGCTTTCTCCTGGTCGGTCCATCCGTTGGCAACGGCGGCTGCTTCAAACTGGCGGTGGTACATCGTCCAGGTCGTTTGTCCATCGTAGGTCGGTGCCTTGAGGTTCGCAGTTCCAGAAACGCCAGGTGTCCTTACTTGTACCTTGGTCTTCTGTAGGTCCATCTCTAATTTTTCCATTTTCTGCTGAAGGCGCTCCTCCAGATCTTCTACGACTTCTTGGAAGTGGGTCTCTTGTCTTCGTTCCGAATTTTCGATACTCTGTTGAATATGGTTCTGCTCTTCTTGTTTGTCTTGTTGTCGCTGAATTTTTAAATCTTCTAAAATTTTCTCAAGCCGGTTCTGTTCTACTTGTTTGTCTTGTTGTCGTTGAATTTTCAAATCTTCGAAAATTTTCTCAAGCCGGTCCTGTTCTTATTTTTCTCTACGATGTCGCTCCTCGAAACGAATTTCCAAATTACCCAACATTTTCTCAAGCCGGTCCTGTTCTTCTCGACGTCGTAATTTTTCCTCTTCCTTTTCTCTCTCTAATTTCTCCATAAAATCTCCCAATAATTTGCTTACTTCTTCCATTTTCTTCGCTTGCTGTCTCGTACCAACCATAAAAATTCCCAAATTCGGTGTAAAATCTTCAAAATCCAATTAAATCGCACTTCCGACACCAATTGTTACGAATTCCGTGGGTCCACTATTTAAACTCACGATAAAATACTTAACGAATTTATTTGTCTTACTCTGTACACACAACTTATACTATTTACAACACAATTTATGCAACTACTATTACTCTAACGGTATTTCGCGATATTTTCAAACTTCAGACTTCAGACTATCTTCAGACTGGTCCAACTGTCAAAGCGCGGGCCTTATATACCCCCTGGCGATGGTTTCTGGAAATTTCTAAAGAATTCTGTAATTTTCTTTTACTTTCTGGCGAATTCGCCAGGTTATGCAACCAGTAATACACCTTGACATTAACATTTTCTTTTACTTTCTGGCGAATTCGCCAGTTATGCAACCAGTAATACACCTTGACCTTAACAATATTTTACTTCAAATATCCTAATAATTTGTACGTTCAATTTAACTAATGGGAAACTTTGCAGAACATAAGAGATGAAGCTGTCCAGGCTCTTGCTGAGAAATGTCCCAAACTGCACTACCTATGTCTTTCGAGTTGCTCAGCTCTGACAGACGCCTCTCTGATCGCTTTAGCTCAACAATGCACCATGCTCAGCACTCTAGAAGTGGCCGGATGCTCTCAGTTTACAGATGCCGGTTTTCAAGCTTTGGCGAGGGTATGTTGAGAACTTGTTGGGTCACGTAATTCGTGGATGCTGCTATACCATTAAATTAGAAGACGAGGTTAGATAATGTTAGTAAAGGGTTTTATTTGTGTTTTTTTATAGAGCTGCCGGTATTTAGAGAAAATGGACTTAGACGAGTGTGTTCACATCACTGATGCCACTCTCATTCATCTTGCCATGGGTTGTCCTAGAATAGAATATTTGGTAACCATAAAATTAAGACAATTTTTTTTAATTATTGAAATTGTTTATTCTAGTCTTTGTCTCACTGTGAACTGATCACTGACGAGGGAATACGTCATTTATCCATGTCGCCATGCGCAGCTGAAAATTTAACAGTTTTAGAACTAGATAATTGTCCTTTGGTTACAGACGCATCGTTGGAGCATCTAACTTCTTGTCATAACTTACAAAGGGTCGAATTATATGACTGTCAATTGATAACCAGAATGGGCATAAGAAGACTGAAGGTAATTCTAGAAATTCTTTGTTATATAATATGATATTCATATATCATATATTAAAAAACAGCAGGTTTATACCATAACTGACTAAGTTGAGAAAAAACTAATTTTAGTGAGGATGGAGTCGATAATTATTGACTGCATCCTCACTAAAATTAGTTTTTTTTTTATCATAGATTATGTATTTAGTAGATAGAAATATCACCCCCAAACTCTCTTGTCTAAAACATTGGTATGAGTATTTTTGTTGTTTTTTAAGAATCATTTGCCCAACATCAAAGTGCACGCCTACTTTGCTCCCGTGACACCACCGCCCACTGGTGGGACTTCTCGTCAACGTTACTGTCGTTGTTGCGTCATACTCTGAGGCCGACGCCCCTCTATGAGGTCCCCACCACCAACTTAGTCATAAGAAAAAAAAGCAGCTACACCAGGCAGTGCTGTACAGGATGTTCCACTAAGAATAGATCTCGGCTGTATTGGACAGTATTAAGCTTGATTTTCATGCATCCGTTATCCCACGATACGTTGATATGATATTAATTTTATTGGTTGAATTTAAAGACTTTGATTGGTTAGAAACGGTTAACCAATCGAAACCTTTAAATTCAACCAATAAAATTAATATCGTATCGTCGGACAACGGATGCATGAAAATCAAGCTTTAGCCGTAGGGCCTTCGGAAAAAATATTTATGACTAAAGATGCCATGAGAAATTCCTGAAAATTATTTTCAGGTTTGTAAAATGGCGCGGCGGCGATCTGTGTAGGCAACTGCTATAGCAGATAACAAAATTGAATTTTTACAAAATTTTGCCTAGATAAGGGGTACTATAAACAATGGCGTCATAATCTTATATAGGGCAACGGCCCAGCTACGTCAAAACACCGGTTCCCATTAGAACACCGAAGTTAAGCGACGTAAGGCGATACTAGTGGATGGACGGATGATCGGTTCGAAACTCTGTATCGTGCTGTTGTCCAAAAAAAAAAGGCAAAAGTGTAAAATCTATTGACACACACTGCTCATTCACGCCGGTTCGAGGCCGGATGAGATCGGATATCTCATAAGAGTCGATTTAGACACTTGCCAAGTCGGTAGGCCATTGACCATGATATGGCCGAGGACCGCGGTTCGGATTCCGCGTAAAACAAAGTAAGCCCCGTCCAGATTAGCCCTGGCAGCAAAAAGGAGACGTTAACTGAAATCTTTACTTTATAATCTTATATGCTAAAACTATTACTCTATTACTTCAAAAGTCACTATTTCCCAAAGCCTGACATGACTTCATTGAGGCGTCGTTTCTTGTTCACTTGCATCTTAATAATTATTAGATACTAATACATCTGACATTATGATTATGACATTCTGGTATATTATCGATTTTAGAATAAATTAATTGTTTAAACTTTATGTTTTATTAGAATGTTCATAATCAAGAGGGCTACTGATACCGTGGTAAAAACATTAGGTTTGGGCTTATAGTTAGAGCTTAAGTTTAGGGCTTATTTTTTTGCATTTGTTGTATTTTTGGTAATATCTTCGGTTTGAAAATGCATTTAATTTTTTAAGCGCTGCATTTTAGCAGATAGGGCAAAATGGTTCCAACCAAAAAAATCAGTAATTTACTGAAGATTATGACGCCATTATTTATAGTACTCCTTAAGTAGGCAAAATTTTGTTAAAAAATCCATTTTATTTTGCCATAGCAGCTGCGCTCTCTAGCGGCCGTTTTACAAACTTACAGTTAAAACGTAATTTCTAATGGCCTTTTTAGTCATAAATATTTTTTTCCGAAGGCGAAGTTAAGAGCGTCTTTTTCGAAAAATGAGTTTTTTAACAACACTACTATACACCAAAGTGTTCGTTTGAACAGCAGAAACACGCCAACAGATCAAGAAAATTTGCAATTTGTTTAAAACGTGCATTATTTAACATTTTAACATAGGCGGCCGGTTTAAATTAGGTAATCAAAACATTCAAATATTTTATTCGACGTCAAATTTTGATTGTTGGCAATTCAAGGCTTGTTTCTGTGTTGGAATTATTGCACAAGTGCAAGGTCTGCTAGTAAAATTTTCTAAGCGTAAACTATCACAATACAATTCATTTAAACCAAAACTCGTAATACAAAACTAAAGTGTCAAAATTAATGACATTGTCAGGAAATAAATAAATAAATGTAGCAACTTGACATTTTTTACAGCAGAGCTGCCATCTGAATCCCCAGCGGGACATTTAAATTTCAGCTGGTCAGCCTGGCGTCGAATATGTCCATGGTTGGCAACAATGAATTTAAAAATCGCGACCTCGCGTTTTTAAATTCATATCATTATATTATTATTTAAATTTAATTGTGTTGCTTATACACTACACACCCAATTAAGAAAAGTGGGTATGTCGCAAAAAATCGCTCTAGGTTAATTTATGTTAAAAAGTTAAATAATGATTTTTTTTACCTTATTTACGAAAATAAGTGAGTATATTATTATCTTTTTAAAAAGGTCATAACTAGGTAAATAAAATATTAAAAGAATATATGGGGCGTCTCGTTTAAAAAAAAACTAAGTTTAAGTCATATTTCGAAAATAACAGCTCCCAGCGAAAAACTAGTTACGCCACTGTTTCAATAACGAAAAACTAGTTACGCCATCATTTCAATAAGTGATAACCAATTTGCCCTGTATTCCAGGAAACAAGAAGGCTTGGACAAATCTGTGTATAGCGTCTTTAGTTTCATAAAAAAAAGTACCACAGTGATGTGAAATCCGCATCCTTGTATATCTACTAATAAATCAGAAACACCATAAACAAACGAAAATAGGACACCCTGTACTTTATTAAACTAACTTAGTATTACGCCAAGTCTTAGCAATTTGTTTGTTTAATTTCACCATTAAGCATAGTTGACATAAACTCCAGAATTAAACTAACCTAATTTTTTTACATGATAGAACATTTAAGCATGAGTTAAGAGTGTTAAAACTACAACGAGGGAATGTTTGATAGTTCTAATTTGTTGGCGTTTTCTGCTGTAAACGATTTAGGTAATATCTAACTTGCTATAGAGTATTGAAATTGAGTTATATTCGCCTCATTTTTTCAAAATACTCTTTGAAATTAAAATAATTATTTTAGGAAACTCCTGAAAATATTGTATATACAATATTAAGACTTAGTTCTATATTATTAGGGGGCCACACAGGGGCATCTTTAGAAAAATAATCATCAATTTAGTAAAAAAAAACATAGGAAGAATAAATACACAAGTACTGTGTTTTGAAGCATTTTGAAACAAAAATGTACTCATCTACTGCCGATTTTAGTATTTTATCCCGCCTTTTTTTAGATTTTTATGAATTTCGAGATCTAAAAAATTAAAAAAAAATGAGACCTATATGTATATCATCATTATTAAACTATACTTCTAATCAAAATTAGCACACACAGTCCCCGGACTGTCTTTACAAGAGGAAAAACTTTTTTATTATGGAGATTTTGAGAAAAATTAATTCTTCATAAATTTTTTTTGTTTGTTCTAAAATGTATACTGTATATCAAAAGTACTGGAGTTATTTTTTAAATATGTGTTAATTTTGAGGATTCATTTCTTATCATTATTGTCCTGTATTCAATATAATAGCTGTAACCAACTTACGTTATTCTAGTTATGATGTACTTAGATTTTTAAATGTTAACGATTGTACACACGTAATTTTTAAAAGTATCCTTGTACACACCTGCAGGTTCAGTGAACTATCAACGTGCTATCAACTAAACAAAAAGAAATGTGTCATGTCATGTCAGTGTTATATCATTGTCATATGTCATGACGTATTATGGTTGTATTCCATTTAAAGGCAGCAGAGCGATTCTGTAAACATATTTTCTTTTTAGCGATTCATCAATCGGCTAAAAATATAAGCTAGGCAAGAAATTTCTTACTAACGAGCTTACAAAATCGCACTGCAGGTTAACTAGCTTGATAATCTACATAAGGATAGGTTCCTGAAAAATATTGGATAATTACAGAACGGTTTAGTAAGACACTGAAAATGTCAATTCGAATTTTTAATTATACAATTATTGTAATTTCAAGCTTGTCAACTTTTCAACAGTTCAAGTTTTTTCTGCAACAGAATAATCAGAAAATGGTAGTGATAGTTCAAATGAACCATTTATATATACTATTAAATTATTGTATGGTTAATATGGATCTTAGTTAGACTGTATGTAGTATCTACCTGTTATGATTACGTTATGTTGTATGTATGATTGAGGGGATGTGCGATACTTATAAAAATATCGTGCATTCATAGAATGTTATCCTCAGTCCTCAATATTCTTCGAAGGTGCATGTAGAAGCACTTATTATAGATTGTGATTTTTCAGTAAGTATGCATTTTTAATACTTTGTTATAGTGTGGTTGATTTGTACAGTTGTTTTATAGAAATGTAACCTATATGTATGACTAGGTCTAAATTTAGTTTTTTTTCAAGATTCTTTGACCAAACACTGTATTATCTGTTTGCGATTCCTCAATAACTTTAATTTTATTGGTATGTCTCAAACTGCCTGTGATAAAAAAAAGGAGATATCGTTGGAGAACTAATGTCGTTGAGAACTCTTATTTTTATAATGAGAATCGTCATAGGGGGCCTTGTTTTATGCTTACTTATTAGTAAGAGAAACAAAATCGATAGGGATATTCAAAGTATCGATATCTAGAAATATTGGTACTGGTTTTTATTTACTCTGAAAAGGCACATCTCTGCTAAAAAGATAAAAAGGGGAGTTTAAAATACTGTTTACATAGCTTTTTTCATTTCGTTTTAACAAAGGACAGTAAATGTAAACTTTTTGAGCTCGTAAGAAATCATGTATTTAAATTTAAGCCATCGTGTAACACCCCATATGTACATATATTTTTGTAGTCGCTGTCTAGATTATTTTATATTTTCATAATAAATTTAAGTTTCTTTTTAAAATGGGTTGTTTAATTTTCGTGTTCATTGCAAAATACCCACACAGACACATATGGAGTGGTCAAAATAAAATGAATAAGTCCAGTTCTCTAATATTTTAAGATAATCGTCATTATACGTTTATAGTTATAGAATATTCTTTTTTCCAGTAGAGAAATAAATCAAGTCATACTTCTCGCATTAAGCAGCTATAGTCTGTTTATACAATTTGTTTTATTGTAATTAAGTAACTTTACAAAAAACTTTAACTCTCATTTTCTCCATAATTACCTTTATAGTGCAGTGCTTTAAGCCCTTATGGGATACAAACTTCGGAATTCATTTACTGTGAACGAATTTTTATAAATCTTTTTGCATTGTATTGTTAATAAGATGTCTTACAAAGTTTACTCATTTAAATTCGTTGCTTTCACTTTAGTATTTAAATAAACACAAATAATATACAAATGCATACATACAAGATTCCTCTGTATTCCGCAAAAGCTCTGTATCAGGATTCCTATTTGAGATTTTTACTCCAAACCTTTTAGAAAATATATGTTTAATGGTAGTTCACGTTTCAAAAATATTTTTATAGATATACAGGGTGAGTCAAATATATATCTATATTTGTTTAGTTCAGTAAATTTGCTATAAATTCCGGTTCCGAAAACACCTTAATACCATAGAGTATACTAAGCGGTTTTTGAATTATGACCACAACTAGAAGGACGTCAATCTAGACGTCCAGGAACCTTCGTATGAGGACTTCTAAGCGAGACGATCGCCTTATTGTAAGTTTATCTCTAAGGAACCGCCGTTTGCCAGCTTTTCAAATTGATAATAAATTGCACTTAAGAAACGTACATATTAACTAACGGACTACAAGAATTAATATGAAGCAAATCTTATGCTTCGGGACCAGAACTTACTAGATGTGTTGACTAGGCCCAAAAGCAAAGGCATGGTCTTAATGTAAAAATTACGAAAAAATGTTAGTGTCTTCTTCCAAAGCGAATACTTCCAACTAAAATAAAGCTAATGAGATGAACCAAAAAATAAACCATCGAGAAAGGATGTATCTAGATGATAAAATTTGATTTTTAAATTTCTTGCGGTTTTACCATATTCCACAGGGTGTTTCAAACTTTCACCAAAATATCAACATTTTGTTTTCCCTCGTATAATTAACAGATGGGGAGTTTCATTTTTAATTTAGAAAAAAGATACTAAAAAGTCAAATAATTTAGCTACACACTGCTTAAAAAAGCATCAAAATCGGCCCATTAAAACAAAATATATTAACCTTTAAAATACATCAAAGTTTTACAGTGCCCATTTTTCGTGCCGGTGAATGTATTTCAAAATCTATACATTTTAGTCATATACTTTTCTAACGAAACAAACCTTTATTTTTTTTACTAGAATCCAAAAATCAATTAATATATAGGGTGTTCTATTACAAAAAAACATAACTTTGATGTGTAACTTTTTTGGGGACACCCTGTAGAACTCAAATTTATTAAATTGACTTACATAAGCTCACAGATTTTCACTTCAATACAAACTTTTGTTCTCCTTGCAAAATAATAATAATAATAATAATATCGTCTTTATTTAAATTAGTACAATGTAGTACATTAAGGTGTGCTTCCGTTGGCGAAGTTTAGCGGAGCTATTCTTACACTTAACCAACGAAAGTAATTTAACTGATGGTTACCAGTTTTTACATTACGAGTTAATTATATATATATATATATATATATATATATATATATATATATATATATATATATATATATATATATATATATATATTACGTAAATTAATCTAATAACTAATTAATTTTAAACAATAATATAGCATTTACATTTTTAACAAATATTACAAATTCTATAAAATTCATGAAGTGAATAACATATCTTTAATACTTTTTTTAAATTGGACAATAGGTTGATCTTTAAAACATTCTTTCAACTGGTTATATAACACAGCTGAATTATATGAGAATGATCGCTTAAATTGCGCTGAATGATACAATGGGATATTTAATAATCTGCGATCCTTGATACATCTAGTATGTAGTTCGTTTCGAAACAATAATTTCTCTCTTAGATACTCTGGCTTTGACGAAGAAAGCAATTTTTGTAGAAAAACCAAGTAATGGTATTTGACCAAATTCGGTACCCTGAGCCATTTGAGCTCTACATATTTTTCTGAGACATGGTCGAATTTTCGGAGATTATAAATAAATCTCACGCAGTTATTTTGCATAATCTGAACTCTGTTCTTTGAGTTTTGATCTAAACAGTAATAATATAAAATGTCGCAATAATTTAAATTCGAAATAATTAAGGTATCGCATAGTTTTTTTCGAAGTTTAAAATTTATTAAATATCTATTTGCATATAATATCCTTAGTTTGGCATAACACTTTTTCATTAACATACTGATGTGGCCATAAAATCGCAATTTCTCATCAATTGTAACGCCCAAAACCTTCACCGTATCACAGAATTGCAATGTACTTGTCCCAATGTTTACTTTAATGCGGGATTTAAGAGATTCCCTTTTGTCTTCTGAACAGAATAGTATGATACTTGATTTTGAATTATTAATCGACAGATTATGGTTGGATGAGTATTCGCAAAGTTTCTTAATATCGCTGTTTATGTAATCAATACTGTCTTTGGTGTTATCAATATCAATATAGTGAAGTAGCTGAGTGTCATCTACAAAGGTCCGCGTCGTTTATGTCGCGTCGCCCTGTATAATTTTTCAATCATCTGTCTCGATTTCAATAAAAATTTCAATGATTAGAATATAAGCAGAATAGGTATAGCTTATGCATTAGATTTATTCACTTCAATAAATTTACTTAGAAAAAGAATTAAAAAAATCAAAAAATTAAGAAGGAAATAATTAAGAATTTACTAAAATTACTAAAATAAAAAATTAAAAGCAACGAAAACAAATGGGTAAACATTTTAGTATTTTATCTATAAAACACAATACAGAAGGTTTCACATTAATACATTCACAGTAATTGAATTCCGAGGTAAAAGTCTCTGGGCACTCCACTATTAGGACTTGATTCAGTTATGAACCCGTCATATACAGGGTCCGGCAATAGTGCGTCGGGCATCTGTAGCTCCTAGAATAAAAAACTTTTTTCGTTAAGTGTAAACCTTAAGTATATACGAGGATGTATTTCAGGGTGGCTGGACTTCTATAGGGTGGCTCAAAAAAGTGTGAGTGGATCGGGATATTTTTTTTAAATGGAACACCCTGTATATTGTGGCATTTTGGCTTCGTTTCAGATCACTTTACATAATACTAAGATATGCGTATTCAGAAATATTAATAAATAAAAAATATATATTTTTCAACCTTCCTTAAAAAAATGATTACAAATAATACAAGATATGTCCTGAAATCGAAACTATATTAGGTATTTACTTTAGATGATCTATACTTACTTTGCTATAAATATCGCAATCTTAAAATATACAGGGTGTTCAAAATTCTACGCCAAACTTTATAAAATATAAAATAATTTTTCTTCGTTTTTTTTTAAATGGGACACCCTGTATATTATTTTTTTATTATAGTGAACATTTTTTGTAACTATTTCAAATTTTTTAATGGCTTCGCAGATACACGCAGTATTATTTCATATGGCTCTTTCAACGGCAAAAAAACGAGAAAAATCATTGGGTGGCTTTGATAAAAATTTACTGTGGAAAATGCCATAAGAAATATAACACCGCGAATATCTAAGAAAACTGTTTAAAATTTTGAAATACTGTAAATACAAAAATTGTTCATTTTTTAGTTCTCCATCTATTGAAAAAACGTGTACCATTTAAAAAACGAAGGAAAATTATTTTATATTTTAAAAAGTTTGACGTAGAATTTTGATCATCCTGTATAATTTACGAATACCATATTTATAGCAAAGCATGTACAGACCATCTAAAGTAAATACGTGATATAGTTTTGATTTCAATGCAGATCTTGTATTTTTAATAAATTTTTTTTAGTAAAGGCTGAAAATATATATATTTATTTATTTATTAATATCTCTGCAACTATCAAAATATATTTACTCATATCTTAGGATTACTCGTATGTAAATAGGTCTGAAAGGAAGCCAAAAGTGAAATAATATACAGGGTATTCAATTTAAAAAACCTTTTAAATCCTCTTACTTTTTTGGGCCACCCTATAAAGTTCAAATATTTTCCTAAAATACATCCTGGCACACTTATATATGATACTTTAGGTTGTACTTAAACAAAATTCACAAGTTTTTTTATTCTAGGAGCTACAGATGCCCGACGCAATATTGCCAGACCATGTATGCAGGGTGTAAGTAAAAGTACCTATTTATTTTTGTATTTAGAATTAAAAACAATCCCTTGTGAAAAAATATATTTTAAAATACGATATTAGATATCCAATAACATTAACATGCAAATAAACTTGTTAAACATTTAATATTCCAAATATTCCATTTTAAATATAAGGCACATAGATTGCAAAAATTAGTTCTTATTAAATGTGGGGAAAAAAGTACTTGTAGAGGGCAATACTGAACAGGATTTCGGAATTATTCGCTTATCTTCCATAGCTATATTAACGAATTTATCCCACTTCTCTTCAGAAGGTGTCTTAACATCAGAGTCCTTAACATCAGAGACAAAACGAGGCTTATCTATATTCATATTGTCTAAATCTACAAGACGTCTTTCTATCATTTCATCCAAACAATAAGGTTCATCTTCAGGACCATAGGGAGTCAAAGGCAAATCATACATGATAGGAAACTTATTATTGGTTGCGCCGCAAGAGAGATCAGCAACTTCAAAATACTCCTTATCGAAAAATTTTGGTAGAAACAGAATACCCGTATGGTAAGTCCTTAAAATGTAAAAAAAGGAATCATTTGCAGAGATAATTTTGATGTATATCTTGCTGCCTCAAAATTAATTATAACCATATACACACATATTCTTTTATGTATATATGATTATGAAGCTGGATTTATAAACTCGGCAGTTGAAGTTCAGTTGAGGCTCAGTTGACGTTAAAAATGTTCGACACTATGAAATGAATGCGCGCATTTATAAAGTCAGTTGGTCGAAAAGTTGGCAGTTAGTTTTACGTTCAGTGGAATTCAAAGATGGTCAATATTTAAGTCGGCAGTTCGCGACGTTCGGTAGTTGGAACGGCAGCCAATGAGCATAATACCGATAATACAAAGAAAATAAGGTATGATATTGCGCAAGTTGGTCACTACGTCACAATCTCCGCGCGCTAATTTCAAATCGTCAAACTGATGACACATTATAAATGTGAAAATGACTTTTCAAATGTCAAGCTCAATGATTTGACATTTATGAGTAAGTGCCTGAATCACATGAAGTGCGCGATCACATGAAGCACAGAAGAGATGCATTGGAAAATGACTTTTATTGTTGTTTCATTATTTCTGTTTTTTTTTAATGTTTATAATTTGCGCAATGTTGGATTTGCGCAATGTTTCAACTTTAAAAATATCAAAAGTATTTTTAAATTGAAAGAAAAAACGAAATTTTCACTATTCCAAACCTAAACTTACAACCGAAACTGACAGTTTATAAATGCAAAAACGTTGAACCTCAACGGCCGCGAACATCCAACTGCAACTGAACGTCAACTATCGAGTTTAGTACTACTTTAGTTTTACGGCCTGAGCTATACGGCCATGTAATAGGATATACAATCCTATACTTTTGTGTTTAGAATATTAACAACCAGTGTTCGCCTTTAGCGAGTCTGGGTGGGTCCCATGCCCTGATATAAATCCAGCTTAACCCTCTCAGTCGTTTTAACTAACCTCATTTTGACTGTTATATCTCCATCCTCTATTTTTCCCCATCCGGCTCTAGATATATTGGACGTGGTCAAATAAAAATAAGCCAGCTTCTTGCAGCACGGAGAAATTCTACATACAGTTCTTGAATGGAATATAGCTTTGGTCCTTTTAGCACTATCAGCCTTCCATGAGCTTAAAACAATGTTTTATTGTAAATTTTAACCTGCGTCTGTATTTTAATATGTATGACAAATATAAATGGAGTAGACTTAACATAATAACATTCGATAGAGAGAGAAAAGAGGCAGGGTTATGAATGCCTAGAGCGCTAGACGAGGTTTGATAAGATATAAATTACATTTCATACCAATAGTGTTATTATACTATGGTTTAGGACGTTACTTACCACAAATATGGTTCCAACCACCTTTGTTGGTCTCTTAAATCAGCATCATAACGGCTACCCCAGGCCCCAACAGGGCCCAAAAAACAAGTCAAAGCATTCTCTATTGTCGGATATAACACACTAAACTGTCCTTTAAAAGTGGGTCTTAAAGTGGGTAAATATTGATTATTAACACTGCTGCTTAAAGAATTCAAGAACCATGTAGTAAACCACTCATCAGGGGTTCTTCCCAATTTACCTGCTCAAAAGTTTTCGTATTAATATATGTCGAATACATTCATGAAACAGGAAAAGGACAATTTATATCACACTAAAATTTATATGAAATGAACAAATTTCTTACAGCTTTAGTGTATATTAATAAATAATATTTCTTGCCTTTAGCTGTGTATTTTTTCAAATTTCGAAAAATCGAAAGGAGAAAAAAAATAAAAAGTACGACTATCAGCGCGCACCGACACTTTACAACGTCGTCTGTTGATATTGAAAAAGTTTTGCTTGGCGTATCGGTGAGAACCAGCCCCTGGACAGCCCACCTGATAAAGGGTAGGCCCAGAAACAGGTTGTGGGAGTGGAGCTTGGTTCCCCCCTTTACGACAAGCAAAACATTTTCTTCTTACTTTTTTTTTCTCCTTTCGATTTTTCGAAATTTGAAAAAATACACAGCTAAAGGCAAGAAATATTATTTACTAAAATTTATTAAATTACAGAGATAATGATTACAAAAACTGTCCGAGATGTAGCTGGCGTTACCGTGAAGCTGTCCGAATTTTAGTTTAGCACTGCGCCGCTGCGCGCTGATAGTCGTTTACAGCGCAACGGATAAAGATTACCGTACCGTAATTCTGCTTTCAGTCCATAGAGTGAGTGGTTACCGGAGACGGTGTTGCCAGAACTACTAATTAATCCGTAGATTTACGGATTTTCAGGATACTGCGTTAATAATACGCATTTTCTACCATTAAATAATTTCGAACGGCGTCAGAGTTAGTTAAAAATTATAGTAAATGTCAATAATTGTCATTTCTAAGCCAACTAAACGGCTTTTTTCGATCATACGACATATTTAGTACCCATAAAAGATTTTTTATTTTTGTTGTTTATTATATGTTTAACACGAATAAATTTTCAATACATAAACACGAATTTTTCATCCAAAGATATTTTCGTCAAACGTATTACAGATATTACACATTTTAATCTGGCAACACTGTCGCTTTCAGCCTTCCATGAGCTTAAAACAATGTTTTATTGTAAATTTTAACCTGCGTCTGTATTTTAATATGTATGACAAATATAAATGGAGCAGACTTAACATAATAACATTCGATAGAGAGAGAAAAGAGGCAGGGTACTGGCAACACTGTCGCTTTCAGTTCCACACCGTCTTCGAAATGCATACGCCGGCCGAATTAGAGAAAATAAGTGTTTTATGCGTTGGCCGCAGAATCATTGGTGTCTCCACCGTACAGCACTTGAGACGCAAGGGGAAATCAAATCAGCTTTGTCAGCAATTCGCCCATTAGGTTGCGTATCTTCCCAATTCTCTCAATCAACGCTAATAGTATCTTTAATTTTTTTTTAATGTTATTACATTGCTAAAAGTTAAATAAGTACTCATTGATTTCTCATCAAAAGATATGAGAAAAAGTTCCTACAAACATGGGTGCGGAAATGCATAGTTTTAAAGTTAGAGGATGTTAAAACTTTTAAAAAGGTAGGTCTTTAATAAAATGTATTTGTTTTAATAATCCTCGGCGAAGTTCAGAAAATAACTGCTTGGTTAACCGAGTACCGTTACAGGAAATCTATCTACTACTTATCTTAAATTCCGTATGTATTAAAGGTTTTGTAATTATCTTAAATACTATTATTATTTGGGCGAATTCGCTGTAGGTAGCACTGTACATCAGTGCTATAAAGTTTAATAAAATTTAGTAATAAATTACATTAAATAAAATGTATTTAATGATTTTTATTTTATTTTATTATTTAATAATGTAATTTAATTTTTATTGTAATTTTAATAACTGTGATTAATAAAATTGCGTTTATCCCATCGACTAGATCGAAATGGACAAAATATCAAGATACAACTTTTAATAGGCATTAAATGGCCTACACAAATTTGCTAATAAGAGGAAAGAAAGTCAGTGGCGCAAATATTTTCTTAGAAACATATTCCAGTTGAGATTAGCAAAACTGCGATCGTGATTTATAAATCGCTGTGACTGTAACCTGTTATGCGATTGCGATTTTAATATTTTTAAATTGGTAAGCTGTAAAGAATATATAACAAAAATATAGTAAATAAAAATAGCTGAAAAAAGTATCCAATATTAACAGAGGTTCCTTACCATAATCTATGTCTTCTTGTTAATGAAGAATAAGAGATAATTTTTATAATTTGAATCTAAAAAACTGTGCTTATGATTTTTTTTTAATTAAATTCAAATTTTGATATTAAATTATCTACTCTATAATAGACAAAATAATTTAGATATAAAACACTTTATACAAAATAAATAATAATAAATTCTAAAAATAATACCTATATCATCCTCAATATCATCATAAATAATTAAATATTAGAACAAATTCGACTCTGGAAAAGATTAATAAGGCTCTGTCAACAATCGTATTATTTAAATGTAACCAATCTGAATTATACCTGAGAGCAACTATAATTAGTCATAACCGAAAACTAGAATTTTTAACATTTTCAATCCGTATAATATATTATAAATCTAAAACTACAGTCACCGGCAAAAAAAAACAGACCACTAAAAGCTACTTCCAATTTCAAAGTTGGATTTCTCGCGAAACTCATTAGATTTTGATGATTTTTTTTTAAATTGTTAAATTAATTCTTAACGGTCAGAAATTTTTATTTCGAATTTATTTTGAGCATATACAGGGCACGGCAATAAGACGAAGTTTTTTGCCCGAACTTTGTAACGCCCTGTAGAGTGCAGCAGCTGTAGTAGCTACTGCCAGGGGGGTGACAGTAAACCGGAAAATTGGAAACAGTTGTGGCGCGGTTCTACCCAGGCAGAAAGCATGGCCTTCTAGACTGTCCTAGACAAAAATCTGAATATTTCTATATGATTTCTGTCAATTTCTGCTACGGAACATTTTTATGCACGTCGGCGTCCTGTTCTTTTGTCTTTTGTCTGTGTGTCAGCGTCAGCTCCCGAGGCCTCTGGCAAGGTCGGGCGCCATTTTAATTTTTGCCGTTTAGATTTGATTGGAAGTTTGTTTCTGATATTTCGGCTGAAATTTATAAGTACAAAGATGTTTTTTGATATAAAGTTCCTTGTTAACACTTTAATAAAGTATATATGATATTAATTACATGAAGAAAATGATGAAATCGACGTTTCTGCGTGTAGTAGGTATAGGCCATATTATATGTAAAAATAGGTAATATATTAACTGTTTTTATATTTTTTTAGCTTTAAACCCAAGGATCTTGGGATATTCTTTGCCAAGGATTTTTCCGTATCTCTACTTTAAAGACTGATCGGTGATTTTGAGCAACTAAAAGCAAGTTATACAAGGTAAATTATGATTATTGAAGTATTATTAGCCTACATTAATTTTCTACAAGATGAACAGATATGCGTAATTACATATCACATAGGTACCTATTATGTATTTTCATAGCAATAATGCTATAAATCTATGTATGTAGATTATTTTTAAAATACAAATGAGGTATTAGATGTATATGTATTATATTTTTTATTCATTTTATTTACATTCAAGTCCTGTTTGATTTAATTCACAAAAATCTTATGTACCTATATTTATATTTTTTACATATTTTTTTTGATTCCAGGTTTAGTGTGGGTTCCGGTTGCCTTTTTCCTGCTTCCAGTTATTTAGTTTTATGTCCGTGAAGCTGTGAAAACATTTATTTATCTTCAAGTTTCTGTAAGTCAATGCACTGTTACTTTACTAATTCACTTTAACACAGCATCTCTGATATTATTTAAATATTTGATATTGATACAGTAGTTTATTGGATTATAGCTCTTTAATTGTGTTGATTTGCATATTTACATTGTTCTAAATTCCAAATAAATATTTTTGAGTAATTTTGTTGTATTATTTACTACCAGAAAGAGTAAAAAGTATATTAACCCTCATTTAAACCTCCTGAACAGCCCGCCATTAAAAACCGGAAACGGAAATAAATTTCATAAAATTGAAATTGTCATGTCAAATGTCCCAGCCGCCATATCTGAAAATTAGTTACCCAGGCAGCCACGCTGTTTCCATAATTTAACATTGACTTGACACTTCTTGTATTTATTATTTTATGGCTATTGCTAAATCAAATTACATTGTAGCCTCATCTTTTGTGAGCATTGTTTTTTTTTAATCATGCCATTATCTCTGTTTGTATTGGAGATACGCTGCTTTAAAACAAACGCCTCGAAAAATGCTTTAAAATAAAATCAAACATCTGAACGTAGGCAAGTTTAATTTGAAAACTAACTAAAACATGGAAATAAAAAAAAAGGTAAAGAAATTTTTGGGGACATTTCATTTAGTTGACGTGGCATTGAATCAATCAGGTTTGTTACAAATTCTTGTGGGATGGCATCAAATTCTTCTTAAAGTGTAATTCGCAGATCTTGAAGGCTGTCGGGTAAAACAGGTCGATGACGGATGCGCCTTTAAAGTTGGTCCCACAGATGTTCAATGGGGTTGAACTCAGGGTTGCAAGCTGGATAAATCAAAGTTATTGCCATATTGCAAATACTCATAAATCCGTTTTCGCCTTTGTCCCCTTGATTATTTATACATAAAACTTTCTGCCTGCGAAGCATTAAAACAGCATATCTCCAATACAAAAAGAGATAATGCCGTGATTAAAAAAACAAAATTCTCACAAAAGATGAGGCTACAATGTGATTTGATTTAGCGATAGCTACTACAGCTGCTGCACCCTACAAGGTGTTACAAAGTTCGGGCAAAAAACTTCGTCTTATTGTTGTGCCCTGTATATGCTCAAAATAAATTCGGAATAAAAATTGGCTGTACTTAAACTGCCGTTAAACGGTAGCTTACTAAAATGCCGTTAATAGGTATGACGTCGTTGATGTGACGCACTTGACGGCTTTATGAAATATAGGAATTCGATAGAAATTTTATAAGGACTAACCAACGCTATCCACCCCACCAAATAACCAAGTTAACCAACGCAACTAACCTCGACACTGATAAAAAATATAAAAAACAAATATAAATTAGTAAAAATCAACCAACCCCACCAAATAACCAACTAACCAATGAATTTTATTTTTTTTTTATTTATTTCTAGTCGGAACACAAACAGGACAAGTCCCAAAATTAGTGTCCACAGCTTACATATAATAACTAAATACCAATAACAATAGTAATAACCAATTAACCAATTTTAAAATTATAATACTATTTTTCTTAAAATTACAATTTTTCTTAAAATTACAATTACATTTTTATATATATATATATATATATATATATATATATATATATATATATATATATATATATATATATATATATATATATATATATATATATATATATATATATATATACACAAACTAAGTCAATATCAACACCAATATGTTTAAGATTTAAGCAAAAAAATATGAAATGAAAACACTATGAAATAACAAGCAAAGGAATCGCGATAAGGAATACAATAATTATATATTAAAAGTAAACAATTAAATTATAGATATTAAACCATAGAAAAAAGGAATTAACTTATAAATACAAATTTACTATTCAGGAGTATAATATCTGGATATGGCTATACACTCACAAACACCCTTAACACCCTCCAAATAACCACGCTAACCAACCCGCCAAATAACTAAACCAATCTAACCAAAAAGAGTGAAACCAATGCAATAAGATCCCGCTATAAGCAAAAAAAATATAAAAAAGTCTTGGTCGGCGTGAGATTTGAACCACGGACCATTCGCTTACGAAGCGATAGCCTCATCCACTGACCCACAAGTGCTCCTGCAAAATGCTTAAGGATAGGCATTACTTTCCGCCGACATGAACGACGTCACAATATCTATTAACGGCATTTTAGTAGGCTACCGTTTAACGGCTGTTTAAGTACATCGATAAAAATTTCAGATGTAGCGACGTAGCATCCGTTAAGAAGAAATTAATTTACAATTTAAAAAAAATCATCAAAATCTAATGAGTGGTTTGCGAGAAATCCAACTTTGAAACTGCGACTAGTTTTTAGTGCTAAACTAGTGGAACTAGTTTAGAAAAAACGGATTTTTTTGATAATGAATTTTATTTTTTCCTGTCCTTACTTTTAAAAAAATCAAAAAACTAATTGCACATTCTCATAGCCACTTTATAAGGGATATCTAATAGTACTTTTAGATTTTCAAATTAGCTGATAATTTGTGAGATACAGAGGCCAACTTAATTTTTTTAAATACGGACCTGCATTTTTTTATTTCAGATTTTGAAAGAACTCGGTCTCTCGAGTACTATGATATACCACACTTAATATTTTTTTTGTTTCGCAGATTTGAACACAATTTATTTAAACTAATTTCAAGTCCGGCTCAGTTTTTTTTAATATTTAATCTATTCATCGTTACAATATTGATAAGCTTTCAAACTTAACAATGACGTGGGGTAAAACATTAAATATGGAAAATCAAATGCAATAAAATAATAAAAAATAATATACAAATTAATACATTACTTCACGTCATTTGTAAAATTGAAATCAATACATCTCAACATTTACAATAAAGAGTACAAAATACCGTATGATCGAAAAAGAAACGGCGTCCAGTTGGCTGGGAAATGACGATCGATGACATTTCCCATATAAATTTACATATAAAATGACAGCGATCTTCATTTCATAGCCAACGCTGACGCCGTTTTTTCTCGATCATACGGTACTTTCGGAAGTATAAGAAGAAAGTTCAAAGAGCTATAAATAAAATTGAACGAAAAATAAATGTTTGCAATAGGGAAGGTGGTTGTAGTAAGTGGTAACCCTTTCGAACATGTAAAGTATTAGAAACTAATTTGTAGAAGTTGATTTATTTATAATAACTACGATGAATATTACGTATATTATTAGATCGCACACTGAGATTTCAAATTCACAATAAAAAAAATTAAAAATAAGATCTTTAAATTGCTGACCTGGATATAATTTATTTAAAACTTCCAATTGGCTCGATTTTTCTTATTCAATGGTAATTAGCGCTGATCAATATTGTTGCGATAAATATAATCAAATTAAATAATTAAACAAAACAGAGTCGGACTTGAAATTGTTTTAAATAATTAAATAGTTTTTTTTTCTTGTTAAGGTACTCAAAACAAAAAAAAAATATAAGTGTGGCATATCATTGTACTCAGGAGACCGAGTTCTTTCAAAATCGTTAATAACAAATGCAGTGCATTTAATGCAGGTCCGTATTTAAAAAAATTAAGTTTGCCTCTGTATCTCAAATATAAATATATAAATATATAATAGATAATATAAATCAAAAAAATCCGTTTTTCGCAAAATCGCAGTGATGGGAGCTGCTATCGCAACCATCGTAACTCGCAGGTGCGAATTATAACTGCAAATGTGATGCCGCGCCGGTGCGATCGAAAATCGCAGTATCGCAGTGACAAATCGCAATTGAAGTAATATTGGTTGCCTGAAAATCGAAAGTCGGCAGATAGATGTTTAAATCGCAACTCGCAGTTTACTTTAAAAAAGGATCGCAGGTTGCGATTGCGAATTTACAATCGCTGCGATTGAATCGCAGTTTGCGATTTTCTGCTCATATGTCTGCTGTATAGAGAATTTTACGTTTTTACTGGAACCATTTAAAGTATATAATCCATACCCAAAGAAGAAGATTGAACTATTATACGCCACAAATCATGGTCAGTTTGATAAGGAGGTATTTTATAATGGTGGCTTAATAGATGACCTAAAAAGTGTAAGGGACATCCATTCTTCCTAGGTTGATGAATTCCTGGACGTCCATATACGAGAAACACCCTGTATAACCAAAACATTAAAATACATTTTATTATACATCAGAAAAATAAAGGTACCTAACCATTACCTAACTTCACTAAAATCAGCACTTTTAACCACATTGATCCATCCTCCTAAAGATTGAATTTTGTAGCTTAGCAAAAAATTTAAAAGGTCTGATTTGAAGCCTGTTTTTGATTCTCCATCTCTTTGCGACATTCCACTTGGAAGTTTGGGACATCGAGGACTTATCCATATTCTAAAAATAAAAACAGTATAATCTAGCATTAAAATAAAAGTTATCTTACAATCCATTATAATTGTTCCAGTCAGGCGCATATATACTTGGGGATCCAATAACAATCCTTATTGAATTATCATCATATTGAAATATTAAGCAATGCCTGTAGTAAAACTTAATATTCAATCATCATAAATATTATTGACAACTTACTTACGCGCTCTGAATATTAAAAAGTTTATCAGTATGTGGAATATGGAAATCAATATTTGGATACAGTTCTTTTAGTACTGGTTCCTGAACTTTTGGATTCTCTGAACCAAAAATAACAGTTATAGGAGTGCAACTATAACAAATAAAATTTAATAAAAATAATTAAATTAAATATAAAATAAGTTACTGTAATTTCCTAGCAGCATATTGTTCAATCAAAAACTGAACATCAATACGATGTGTAAATAGCAAGGACTTTTTTACATTCCCCAAACTTGGACATAAAAGATCTTGAAAACATATCTAGTACTACTTAACGATATTATTAATTACTAGAAATATACCTGTAAACTTTATTGAGTATAATTGCTCTTCTGTACCTTCACAAAAACTTAAACTATTTGTAAATAAGTTATACGGTTCTGCATCTTTCATTTTGTCCTTTATCGTTACTTTATCCTTATTCTCACCTAACTTTTCAAGTACTGGACTATCAGGGGTATAAAATAATCTAAAATATTCACTAAACGGTAACTCCACTTGCGTTGAGCTTCTATCTGACAGTTTGAGAGAAACATTCAGTTTGGGTTGTATGTAGACTTGAAGGTCTTCGTGCTCAAGAGGTGTTCTAAACTTTGTCTCACTATTATTAACCATTTTAACAAATTACGAAGCACGCCACAAACGTAGAGTGTAGAGGTAATTCAATGGCAAATAAAATAAAATTAACAACAGGACCACCCTACAGAAGGACCACCCCACAAAACACATACACAAGGAGAAGTGCGAGCGCCTTGCTAAATATTGGAAAGTGAAATTGACGTTTAAATTTGACACTGTTGATAAGTCTACTGCTACTAGCGCCCCCAATATCGCTTGTAGGAACTACGGACTAAATTGTTACGCATGGCGGGAAGTTTAAAAAATAAAAAATTTTAATTCTTCATTTATTTTTAATTATGACATAGATGTTCACAAAAAATACACCATTTTTTAAAAATATGTTTAATATCAATATCAAATATACAACAGAAATTAATTTCACCACAATAAATTAATAAAAATTAAAAAAATGTTACAAGTAGATCAAGAGACAAAATTAATTATAACAAAAACTGAAAAATGGCGTCATAGATGGCTTAGAAATAAAGTACCTACGCCACTGGCACACATTCTCAAGATCTCTGAACAGCGTTGCCATTCTCTCGGGAATCCTTCATGACTGCGATCAGCCCGTCTTGTTCCCACTCGCATAGAACAAGAAACGAATGTCTGATTCTGATCTTTCTCTTTTTATGAATGAAATGCCGGGTCTGCTTTATTTAGAGGTCATTGATAGAGCCGGATTCCTACCGGCTAAAAAAAACCCTCCTCGTTCAAGTAAGCACACCACGCCGGAACCGCTTACCCATTACTTCGACGTGGGGGCTGCCTACGCCATGTGGCGTTGTTCCTCTTCTTTTTTACTTAGTATATTATTTATACCTTCATTTACTGTTTCCCATAATAATTCACCTCCCTCAAGGCTTCTTCATTAAGTTCGTTTCAGTGAAATCCAGTCCACTCTTCTTCTTAAAATGATCTCTCTCATCCTTCCATCTTGGACAGGAGAACACATGTTCAACGTCGTCTATTGGACCACAAAATAAACACGATTCAGAGCTTGCCCGCCGCATCTTATAGAGGTATTTTCGGAAGCACCCGTGTCCAGACAGCATTTGTGTCAGGTGGTATCCCACTTCACCATATGGTCTGTCAATCCGTTTTTCGATGTTGGGTATAAGTCTCCAGGTTCATTTTCCGTACTTTCCTTTATCCCACTGATCCTGCCTGAATTATATTTAAGAAACTCTATCTTAAAACTTGTTTAAAATCAAATTATATCTTTTCAAATATTATTCAAACAATTATAATATAAAAGGAGTACTTTTAGAGACGGTCTTGGTTATATTCGAATAATAAATATTTAAATTTGACTTGACTTATTACAAAGATTCATGAACCTTTTTGTTTATATATAGTTAAGGGGAAAAAGATTAAAATCTGTACCCAAGATTGGTTTTACAGGTCAAAGATCGTAATGATATAAAATGTAAGAACTCTATTTTTCTATGCTACGTTTTGTTTATCTGACGTAATAAAAAACAGACATTTCAAATGCCGGAGCGTAATGGAATTTCGAATGTAAACAAAAACAAGCCCCAAATTCGTGCTACCTGCACTTTTCAAAATGGTTTGAGATAACATTCTATACAGTATCGCCGTCTAAAACAGTATTAGACAGCGTCAGAGAAAGAAGTGGTACGCACTTATTAAATTAAAACTATTAAAGTTTCTGAGGTTTAATTAAGGTTTTGTGGTAGTTCTGAGTTCCATTGCCGTGCCGAATAAGAAGTATAATTAAGGTGAGTTTATTTTATCTCACTGAGCAACTAGTTGGTTACTGTTTATTGTTTTTATTATAGATATATTATATTTCTGAATCTCAGATAAATTTTAAGATATCTGATTGAATATAAAGGAAAGATAATTTGCAGATGATAATATTGAAGTATTTCTTTATAGTGAGTTATTTATAATTTGTCTATGTGACTTTAACAGAATATAAGAATATATTTGTGTATTAATATTATCAAATTAATCTTGATTTGATATTAAAAAAATATGATTTGCACATGATAATATTGAAGTATTTCTTTACAGTGATTTATTTATATTTTGTCTAAGTGACTTTAATAGAAGAAAGAATATATTTCTGTATTTGTATTATCAAATTGATCTTGAATGAATTATGTTTAGCTTTATTTATTTTCTACAGTTAACCTATGTAGCGTAATTAGCCTTGACAAATAGTTAGCCCCGTAGTGTAGTTTGACTATTAACTTGTGTGTTTTTTTAGCCTGTGTGGCATTTTGATAGCCTGTGTGGCAGTTTTATAGCCTGTGTGGCATTTTTTTAGCCTTTGTGGCACTTTGATAGCCTGTGTGGCATTTTTTAGCCTTTGTGGCACTTTGATAGCCTGTGTGGCATTTTTAGCCTGTGTGGCACTTTGATAGCCGTTGTGGTACTTTGATAGCCTTTGTGGTACTTTGATAGCCTGTGTGGCACTTTGATAGCCTGTGTGGCACTTTGATAGCCGGTGTGGCATTTTTAGGCTGTGGCATTTTGATAGCCTGTGTGGCATGTTTTTGTTAATAGTCTGTGTGACTAGCCTGTGTGGCATTTTATTATTTTATTTAAACTTGTATTTTTAAGTTACACTATTGATAAATCATTCAAGTACTCGTTTAATTTTAAATTAACTTCATTTTAATAATAACTGGTAACATTGCTGCTCACACCATTTTTTTTTCTTTAATTGCAGGTAGATCATCTCGGTAGCCAGGTCATACAAGACTTTTGTTGCTATACAACATTTGTCCATTTGCAGCGCTCAGATCAAAGTTGGCTATTACCATTAGTAACGTACCATCTATTAGTATTATTTGTATTTTATATTATTAGTTTTATTTTATTATACAACATCTACGCCCTTTAAATTTGTTTTATGGTTTTTACTTTTAATTTGAGTTGACCGCTTGAAAACAAAAAAAAATTTGCCCGTACAAAAATGTTAACATAAATAGATGTTAAATCCGAATAATCAATCAATATAACATGGTAATTTTAATAATCAAATACAAGTAAACTTTAAGCAATGCTGAAGGCAAATACTTAAAGTGTTAAAAAAATATAAAATGTAACAGAACGTTAAATTTTATATATTAAGGGTTAAAGTAATGCTGAAGGCAAGTACTTAACCAGTTAAATGTAAAATTTTAAGAATAATAACACACTAATGTTTATTTAAAATCAAATTAATAAAATTTTAGTTTACTATAAGAAAATATACTGGCCTTGTATACCAAATTATACTAAAAAAATGATCTTCTTAATGATAAAAAACATCAAGGCATCCAACTTCTCCTCAGAGGGGTGCAGAGCTGAAATCTAACCGAGCAGGCTGCTACTGATTACTTCGGTGACTGAACACGTATTGAAGAATCAAAGGGAACTTGAAAAACTGCAAGGAAAACTTGGCGAAAAAGCTTCTAGAAACAAGTGTAGAAAAACTTGCAGAAAAACGTCTAGAAAAATGTCTAGAAATACTTGAAGAGAAATCCAAAGGGAAACCTGAAAAGAAATGCACGGTATAAGTTAACCTTACACTTAAAAAACTTGAAAAATTTACGACTGTATTGATTTACCTCATTAAGAAGGCACACAATCAATAATTTAACATTTCTTCTCAAATAAGGGCTGGACACTTGTCATCGAAAAAACTGGAATCTAAAAGAAAGGCATGTAATTTTTTTTTACCAAAACTATAGATCCTTTAAAATCTAAGCAATCAAAATCTATATGAAACCTTCAACCATCTATAGGATAACAAAATCACAATATTTTTCCCATATTGTGAAAAATACCGGCCAAATAAATTTAATTCTCAAAATGGCACATTGACCTCGGCAACGGCCAAATCCGAGGTGACGATTTTGACGTTTCCCGTCCTGTGTATACACCAGGGTACGATCCACTATTTTCGATAAAGAACGTTCCGAAATTTAAGTGTTGTAGAAATGTAAAAAGAATATCGATACAATAATAAAATACTGTCTATAATAAAACAAATTAGCATTTGGAAAATGAAAATGCTACAATTGATTTTTAATCAATAAAAATATTTATTGTATACACATTGGTTAGGATATTGTTATTATAGGATATTATCATTGAATCACACTGAATATAAACAGTTTTTGAAAAAGAAAATAACAAAACCCAAATTTTATGATATATTTTTAAACAAGCACATAAGTTAGTTTGTAATTATATGTACTTTAGGTAGTTAGTTATGTAGGTAAAATAATTACCCTTTATTTTTTAGCTTTTTATTTTCAACTCCCTTTATTTTTTATTTATTAAATAATATCAAATAATTTAATATGCTTCTGTACAGTAGTTGTTATGATCCTTTATTCTAAACATTCATTTAAGATGAAATAAAAAAGTAACGCTTGTAATTATTGTGTGTAATTAAAAAAGTAATTATTGATTTTCGTTAGGTTAAATGTCCTGAGATTTTTATCTGCTTTTATCAAACTACATAGTTATATTATAGAAAGACGTTAATATATAATGCATTACCCACTAATGTTTTTGTTCTTACAAATAATGAAATGAAACAAAGAGTTTTTTATTGTCGAATAATTTTTTTATATTAATTAACGATGAACCTAAAATGAAACTATTAAGTAATACTTGTCGATAAAAATTTTACACAATTAAATATTTTTATAGTGAATATCAAGAAAAATAAATTGTCACGCGTATGTGCGTTTCGAGCCCAGCATTGATAAAGTCGGAGGGGACATGATATCACGTGGATGTTAACATCTTGTTCTCCGACTTTTATCTCACCAGCACTCTCCCACTTTTACCTACGCAGCCTATCGTTTGGCATTGACGCCGCGGTGATAGAATGTTAATTTCTACCACAGGGTCATTATTTACATTTAAGCGTGCCCCAGTCATCATGTGATAAATGTGGGGCATTCTAAGCGCAATTTGCAACAATGCCAACTTTCAACATGTACCCTACTGTTTTAGGGATTTTGCAGTGTACAGAATATACTTAGAGTGCTAAAATATTAAAAAACGGTCTTCAATTCCAGTCTAATAAAATGAAAATTAAATGTAGAAATGAATGATTCAAAAATAACCTTTCAAACAATAATAAAATAATACATGGTACAATTTTACTGTGTGCTATTA